CCCCAAAACCCCAAAACCCCAAAACCCCAAAACCCCTTACTTCAAACCAACTGTTGAAAGGGTTTAAGGTAATTTCATTAACAGTAAGTTATTCTGTTGTTACTCTATTGACGGCATAGTATATTTTGGATTATATTTGTATCTTTTCGGCAATTCCTTCCAGATGGGAGCATCAGTTCTTTAATTTCTGAGCGACGTAGAATCCGTAATTGCTTTTAGCAAGGCTTTTCATTGTTTCTGGCTCGCTCAGCTTGTCAGCATATTGTATTAGTACTTCGTCATCTGCTTTATCCAAACACTTCTCAATCACATTCGATGAAAACTTCTGCATCGACAATTGAAGAACGTTAGCCAGCAAGTTCATGTATATCTGGTGCAGGTCTTCGTTGTCCCAATAGTCGATGGCTTGTTGCACAGCGTAGTTTCCGTACGGACTCTGTACCAGCTGCACTCAGTCATCGCTCAGTTTCTCAACGAGGAGGGCTTTCTTGTCAGGAGCACTCGAGAACCTTGCGATGATCTTCTTGATAACACAGAGTCCGTTCGAGTCAAGAGACAGCTCCAGCAGTTTATCGAAGCACGCCTCAAATATGTAGTCGAGTTTGGCCACTTTCACAGTCAGGATCACTTTCTGCAGCACATGGGTTCCATTCGGATCAAACGACAGACTGACGACGTGTTCGCGTAGTGCATGTTCGAGCGCATCCTCTTCTTCTTGCATGTTGATGAGTTGGATCAGACTCTGCATCGAGTGGGTGCCTCTCTTGTCACAAGAAATGTTGACGACATGTGGACTGATCTTGGTCAGCAAGTAAAGTCTTTGCTTGCTCGAACAGCTCTGAAGTAGCTTCTGGCAGAAATAGTTCCCGTAGGAGTCAACCATGAGTTCATGAAGACTGTCTCCGGCTTCAACTACAATGAACTCAAGGACGTCAGGAGAAGCCTTAGCGAGCACTCTTTGCAAGTACTTGGAGCCTTGCTGGTTCTTGGCCAGCGCAGGGATCTGCCCTTTACAATCTACAATGCTTTTATCGTTTGATGGAATCGAAATGCTGTGAGTGCTGGACCTCCTGCTTTTACTGTTCTGATTTTTGAGAGCACTGAAGTCTTTGGTAGCTTTAGAAGCTGGCTTCTTGGGCTTAGGCTTGTTCTGAGCAAACTTGAGGCTCTTTCCGAGGTTGCTGGACCCGCCAGTGGTTCCTGAGTTTCGTCTCTGGTCATAGTCGTAGTCAGGCATTGCAGGACCACCAAGGCTCGGCCCATTCTGTACACCTGGACGACCGTATTGAGGCCTAGCATGACCAGGGTTTGCACTCATGGCTGGCTGATTGTACCCCATCATTTGCTGAGGTCTGTCATGTGTGTTGTAGTTGTAGTAGGCTGTGTGTTCTTGTGGGTAGAAGTGGTCGTGACCTCCGAATGGCTGGAAGATGTTAGGCATCGATGAAGTCCTGCTGTCATTCGGAACCCATGCTACAGAAGAACTCTTCATTGGAGACTTCAAGAGTTTCTTGTCTTCGAGGCTCTTCATTGGAATTTGATGGCTTTCTCTCCGTTTCTGGTTCCTAGCCATGTGGACTTTGGCTAGTGATTTGGTGTTTGTAACACTGGCAGTATGTGTGGCGTTACCAAACACATACTGAGAAGTCTCAGGGCCAGGCTCAGGACCAGTCTCAGGGCCTGTTCCACCTGCTGAAGATGAGTTGGGGTCTCGCTCGTGGGCTTCTTTCTCAGAGTCAAAGTCTTCTTCTTTGATAGTTGAGTTTGAGTGAGCACTCATTTCACCAGTGGCTGCTCTGACTTTGGATGGCTGGATCCCTGAGGCCATCTGGTTCTGACTCAAGTCCATTTTAGAGAAGTCTATGTTGGAACAGTGCATTTTAGCGAAGTCCCCAGTCAGACCCTGGATGTCAGCCTGGTCTCCAGATGCATCATGACTCGAGAAGTTCCGAGTGACTTTGAGTCTACCACTAGTCGCTGGGAATCTGTTGAGTCCAGGCGGTGGCCCTGAGTTGTGACCCTTGCCCCCGTTGAACTGCCTCGGGTTCATGGCATCAGCCATGCTGTTGGATCTGCTTTGCTGGTGCACTTGTTGGTAGCCTGGCTGTTCGAGCTGAGCTGCATAGTGGTTCATCGGCATCGAAATTCTTCTCTGCTCTAGGTATTCTGTGTTAGGGGCAGCTCCTCCGTAGTACTGCTGATTGTACTGGTGGCCATACTGGGGAGCTCCGTACCCATACTGGTAGTTGTGCATGCTACATGTTAAGCAACCAAGTACTAGTTCATTTCTTTGCCCATCGGGTAGTGAGGCTGGTTGTAGGCAGGCATTCCGTGAGGGTCAGGTCCATAGTTGGGCATAGGTTTCGGGACTTGTTGAGGGTACTGATTCATGTAGACAGGCTGGCCATGGACCATCTGAGAGCCTGGCTGGTGTATCATTTGGTGTTCTGGCTGATGAATCACTGGCATTTGCTGATAGCCAGGAGATTGAGATTTAGGAGGAATGTTCTGGGAATATGTTTGCTGATAACTTGCTCCTGGTTGGTGATATTCTTTTTGATTAATCATGTTTGGAGGTTTGTTATTCTGCTGAGGATAGAAATTTGAAATTTCGAAATCGTCATCTTCAAGATCTAGTTTGGAATCTTCTATACTTCCAATACCTAAACGTCAAATAGTGCCATAAAATTTTAAAATGAGAAAAACTGTTTTATAAATTTCTAAAGATACCAGAGAATTTCTTATTTCTATATGAAATAAAAATTTAACCTAGGAGGAATAGTATCCCATAAAATTAGAGCAAATTGTGTAAAAAATTGGAAGGATGTTCTCCTCCTCACATTCTGAAGGTATCTTCCCTCATTACCAATACCTTTACTACTATGAGCATCTTTCTACTATCATAATTGTTATAAACAAAGGGTTTATCTAAAGGCATTTGCTATCATTAGGCATATCCAAAGACACTAGTGCAGGGCAACATAGTGTCCTTGTTCCTCTCCTTCTCTTCCTCCTAGGCATACCAACCCTCCAAAAATCCTCTCTAAAATCTCTGCACAAAAACTACCGTTCAAGGAGATACAAAATTTTGTGCTATTTACAATAGTAGTTTTATAATTTGGCTGATCCAGGTGGGAACTTACCTTTGAAGTCTTTCTCATCAGGAGTATTGTCATCGTCAATAAAGTGAGGCACGAAACCTTGCCCAGTAGGAGAAGGATCAACTTGGCCATGAGGGTCTATCCTTAAGGACTTTTCACTGAAGTTATTGAAGCCTGAGTACAAGCTAGCGTCGCTTTGGTCATGATCTTTTGAAGTTTTCATGCTTTCGTATTGGGGTTGGGAATATAACTGTGAGCTGAAATCTGGCTCTGGGTGGCTGAAATTCATATCTTGTCCACTAGGCTGTCCAAACTTTGAAGGAATCATTTTGTGCTCCTGAGGATGGGATGGGCTAATAGGGGACCCATCGCGCCCAAGAGAAGGTGATCCTGATGCATTTCTTACACTAAACAATCTTAGTTAAACTACTTTCTATCCAAGTGATGTTAATTTTACAAGCTTTAGAGAGAAGTTATCCATCTTTTGAGTGATTTACTTACTCTTCATCGTCATTGTTCCTGAAAAAGCTGTACGTAGTGATCTTCCTAGATTAAGATTAGCTCAGTAAAACCACAGTGTTAAGATTAATACTTGACTTTTGATAAATTTTCCTTATTTGATGCTGAGTTAAAGCTAGCTAAGTCTCTTTGTATTTAATATGCTCAAATAGTTAAGTAATGTAGAAATCAATCGGTGAAAATAGCTATTTGGTAATAGGAATTTAAAGATTTTTAAGTTACGCTCTGCATTGATTTCACGAGGGAAGGCTACGAAAGTTAGACACAGAATGAATCGAGAATCTTGTCTAATACAAGTATAAAATAAGGCATAATTATATAATTCTAGCCCACTAAACCAGAAATGAGGTTCGCTCTTTTGTTATAAAAATAGGATTTCCAGAAGACCTTCAGGTCTTCCTCCATAATATCATACTTTTATAAACCAGGGCAAAATAATTCCAGAACCCATTCGTACTACTCTAACCCCCAAGATCATACTTTGTGGGACCCTCCATGGTGAGATGTGGTTGTGCATTCATATTTTCCTGGCTGTTGAACTGACTCGGGTTCGGATTTCCTTCCATATTTCTAAAATAATTATATAGTTTTGCTAATTTATCTTATCAATTATTTCTTGCTAGGGGTTTTGGGGTTTTGGGGTTTTGGGGTTTTGGGG